ACAAGAATAATCACCATACCCTTGATCTAAAGATAAGTATTAAACACGATGGTGTTCCTTGTTAATTTTTGTGTTTGAAATACTGGGATCCAACACGTGTGTAACTATCTGAGAAATGTTTCTCAATAATTTGTTTGTTTTTGAATTTCGCGCAAAGCTACACGAGGGCTATCTGCGTTAGCCGTCCCTAATTTAGCAGTGTAAGACTAGAGGGAAGGCAGCTAGTCATCACCACCCACCGCCAACTCTTGGGCTACTCTTTTACCAACGAATAGTGGGGTTGACCATCACATTATAACGCCTCCACGGCTGAAAGGGCGAGCATGTTTGGTGTGACAGGGATTCGAACCCGCGACCCTCAGATTGCGAGTCGAGTGCCTTAACCACCTGGCCATGCCGGGCCTTCTCAATAATCTGAGCGATGTTTTGACTCAACTAAGTATTACGAAAATGTTTGCCAACGTTTTTATTCTAAAACATTTATAAAAACGTTACTGTGTTTACGCATATTAATACTCTGTGTGTGTGTGTTATCTGTGTTATTTAAATGTTCTAGTTAGCAAAACACTAAAATTAATGACGCGGCTTCTGTTACGTAAGAAACAAATATTTGTGAATCACCAAGTTTGTAAACAAAGAAACAATAAACGATTTTGACTTTTCTGACAGACAATGAATCCTTTGTGCCTTGGGATTTTCGATTTTGACCATACTGGTACTGGTTTGTTTTTTTATCATTTCCAGAATGAAAATGTTACGACTGCATCGCGTACGCATTTGTTATTCGAATAAGTAAATTTGCTTTGGTTAGTTTCAATTTCGCGCAAACCTACTCGAGGGCTATGTGTGCTAACCCTAACTAATTTAGCAGTGATAGACTAGAGGGAAGGCAGCTAGTCCACAACATCCACCGCCGACTCTTTGGCTACTATTTTACCAACGAATAGTGGGATGAATCGTCACTTTATAACGCCTCCACGGCTAAATGGTGTGACGGGGATTCGAACCCGCAGACTTCCACCAGAATAAGTAAGTAAATAAAGCGTTGCATGAATGCTGTAAGTAATCTATAAGTAATTTAAGACTTTCCAAAAAAAAAGAACACAAAAAAATCACTTACGTTATATGTGCACAACAGCAAGTTAAGACAAAGATTTGGTGTCCAACAACAATAACACATCTTTCCTGTACAACCGACGCGGGCATGGAGTGTGTTTGTGCGCGTGCTGATTACCTACGCAACCATTTTACTTTTAAAGAATTGTTGCAATAAAAAGAATTCATTTTGTAAACCTAGATTCTTGGTTGCTTTTAATTTGAATTGGAAATGAAAAGGAACGCCGATGATGGCCGAAGAACAATAAAGATGGTGGCATCCTGTGGGGCAGGACTTTTAGAATGAAGCGTTTTTTTTTTAGTTTTTTTTAAATTAGTTGGATATAAAGAATAAAACGAATCTTATACGCGTTATCTATTGAACACACTCCGTTTGCCACATTTCTGGCGACGAACTGCATCCGTTATAATGATTATTAACGTTCCCACTTTCTTATCTCGTTGCTGATCAGATGTGAACTCAGTCACCTCACATCGTTAACCGTACCACACAGAGTTGCTAAAACGAACAAGCATACACTTATGACGGGTCGCTTTTCTTTTTATCCTTTAATTACACATAGTGTTTTTGGTACGAATCTCACTTGGTAAGCTCTGTAATCTCTTCTGCATGACTTTGATGAATGACTAATCAGCGGTTTCACCAGCTGGCCTCAAGTCAGTAGTCCTTCCTTTAGAGTTTATTACATTGAACGCCGCTAGGTCCTCGGGTCCTAGAGTTGTTTATACAAACAACAGTAAATAAAATCGACTTTCGAATAATTATACTGTTTAGTAAACTCCCCTATTTTATTATGTTGCATTTTTTTAGAGCACGAAACTAAAAACAATGTCCAGAAACACAAAAACCTAGGCCTACTTTGCAAAAATGTAGCCAATAAAAAATTATAGTAAAGTGCTTATGTAGTGATAACGTTAAATATTTGTTTGATTGTTTGCACGCAAAGCTATACAAGCTCTGCCCATGAATATCAAAATCAGGTTTTTAACGCTCTAGCTCCGCAGTCTTATCACCGAGTCACCGGATTTTGGGTGGGTGGGGGATATTAAATAATTTATTGATCAATGATTTGAAGATACAAGAAATCCTGCTATTGAAACTAGATATTAGATTTGTTTGTTGTCAATCACAAAGCTAAATAATAGGCTATCTATACTGTGTCCACCATGAGTATCGAAACCCGATGTTTAGTGTTATAAGTCCACAGGCTTAGTTATTGGGAATTTGTACTTTAGGCATTGATTTAGTAACATTCAACAGATGGAGCCACTTTGCTGGGCGTCAATGTACTGTTATCTAATAATGGCTGGAGACGGCTTAAATGGGTAATGAAGAAAAACTTTAATATAAGTTTAACATGACAGCAAATGTACAACGTTTCGACAAGGTTTTGTCATCATCAGGTACTGTTATCTAGTTTTACCGAGCCACCCACAATAACATCCTCGTTTTCATTTACAAACTGGAAAGTTTATTTAATGGTGGTTTAGAAGAGAAAACACAAATAATTACCAAAAACGCATTCTACTACTTATACTGCTTCATAATTTTATAATAAATTGTTGATTGACTAGCAGGTTATATACAGCCGACAATTTGTTTTTCTTATTAAGTTAGTGTAACTTTGGGAGCTCACGACAGTATCGAAGGGTAAGTAACTCAATAAAACTATAATAAAATACATAACTAAGGCTGTAAAGTTGTTATTGCAATTTCTGTTAAAAACCTAAGCATAACTGAAAGTAAAAGTTTTGTTCAGTTACAGTAACACATAAACACAAAACAACAAGATAATTTTCAACTTAGTAAATTCCATAAGCAGTAAATCACTCAACGTCTTAACCTGTTTCGGAGATGTTATTGAACAAGGTGCAATAAACCAGATACAGCTATTATCGAAGCTAATCGGTCAAAAAAAGTTTTGTAAGTTTTCGGATCACTTCATTTTGTACTTTCAAACAAAAGTATTTCTTAAGAAAATAATTTGCATCAAAATATTTTCAGTTTCTTCGAGGTTAAAAATTAATGCACCTCTTATACTTAAAGACGTGAGTTTACTCTAGAACAAGGAAACCCATACATTGGCTCATTATTTGGTGCTTAAACTCTTTGAATGCAGAGATGTAATAATACCGTGGTTAGTCTGCCAGATAATAGTTGAATGCAAGGATGTATCTGACTTTCAAAGGGGACACGGTGTGGATTCACATGTAATAGAAACATTTACCCCCAGAATCTATCAACAGTTGTGATCGAAATGGAATAAGTTTGCTATTAAGGAACGCTGTAATCTTTAGTTTCTTCTGAAAGCTCAAAGGGAAAAGTAATAAAACAATATTATAAAGTACAACAACCTCCAACCTGTCATACGAAGGACATTACAAAAACTGCTAATTTCCAATGTAACAGACAAGCTCTGTTCCAGTGATGGCATCTTGTGGGGTCTATGACATATTATACCCACATCTTATTGTGGTAAAAGGTGGTGTACCCCAACATTAGGTGTGGTCCTAATAAAGTGGTCAGTCAGTGTAGGACCCAACACAGGAGTATTATCTAGTAGGCTAAAGTTATTTCAAAGTCAATTGGTGATAGTGATTAGACTTTTTTCATTTATTATGAGAATCACTGTATTGTCTTCAAGAAAGAGTAATTTCAATATAAAATTAGATAGTAATAATTTTGTACGATATTTGATGCAATTAGGATGATCAACCTTATCTCATATCCAGTTTAAAGTAAAATCAGTACAGCTCTTGTCCCATTTTCTTCGTTTCTAATGTTTCTCTTTTTTCTGTTGAAGCGTGAATTAACTGAGATACATATAAGCAAATTAGTCTAGTGTTAGTCTCACGAACAAATGTGCTTAATGTGTACGTACGGACGACAAAACAATCACCCAAGTATACGTAGCCAGTCTGTAGATCAGGGTTTTGGGCTGCAGAAAATATACGAGCTATTATTTTATTCTTTAAAAAAAGTTATTTTAAGTAAACGAATCGGTAAACATGAAAATAATGCTATTAAATACTTGATTGCTATTTAAAATATCGTATGCATAGCGTAAAAGAAAATTTTGTATTCTGACATATATGAAAGGTTTTATTGAAAATATGAACACGCTTCTTCGTTGTTGTTTTTAACGCAAAGCTACATAATGAGCTACCTGTGTTCTGTTCACCGCGAGAATCAAACCCCGTAACTTAGTGTTGTAAGTCCATAAATTATTGCAAACTCACTGGGAACAAATATATATGAACGACAAAAGCGGAATAGTTTTCTTTACTCAAACTAATTTTTCATAGATTGATCATCAACCTCACCTGAATGTAAAACCGTAGAGTTGTAGTGAACAAAATAAGACCGAGAATGACCTAGTGGTTAGGGTGCCGAGCTTCGAGTCTTAAAGTCCGAAATTCGACCCGATTCCCCTGAACATAATCCATTTTTTCAGGTGTTCTGTGACAGTCAGTCGGAGTAGCCACATAGATGGCGGATATTGGTGGTTGAATATCTTCTTCTGATCACAGTAGAATGGGGATGGCTATCCAGTATCTTTAAACGTCTATGAACTAGCCGTTTCCTTCAGGTATCGCATAATTAAGTTATAAAACACGAACGCAGGGTTTTTGTTTCGTGGATACATTTACGTACGATCACTGAAAAATACGTATACATGTAGTTGACTTTATGTAAATTTTGTTGTGCATTATAAATAAAGATGAACTGTTGAAGTTAATTGTATGTAACTGAAATCGTGTTATTAACTTTTTTTGTCTTTTACTGAATGAAAAAACAATTATGCGGTCAATGATCGATGAATTATTGAAAGCAACATGCGTCTTTTCTTCCTTTTCTTTTTTGCATTTGTGTTTAGAACACCAGGTGGTGTATTGGTCAAACCACATGGCGTAGTGGCAAAAAATGGGAGCATCTACGATAGATTTAAAGTTCAACTTAAAGGAAAAGTAAATATTTCCCTTATCTTTTGTTACTTTGTAATTATTTTTGTATTATTGAAAACCTTTTATATTCTAATTTGCAGCTTTTTATGGTTTAGTGAAGCCTTAGCTAATAGTAACGTTATTTTGTAGTAATGTTAATGGTAGTATGTAAACATAAAATCCCACGGAAATGGAATGTAAGTTTATTGTAAATAAATGTTATCCTCTTCACACATATAGAGTTTTTGCTAAATGTATAATTCCAAAATCATATTCTTGATATAAATGTCTATCAATCTATGTGATATGCATTCGATGATATTTTTATGTGTGTAAAAGGAAAGTTGCGGCATGTAATAACGATACAGGTAAAAGTGATTAAGGTAGTGTCATTGTTAAGTGCTTACAATTTGTAATGTGTGATAGATGCAAGAAGTGGAGTTTATTTGTGAACTCCCAACAGGCATACACTTTTGAAGAAGCTAGTAATGAAGATGTGCAATTTGAATGTATAATTTGACAGTTGGAAAATAAAATTTGAGCTATCCTAGATAGAGTAAAGGCAATAGATAAAGATAATGGTAACTATTTCAAGATTAACTTAAGCTGTTGCATATGAAGTATACAGTACTTAATAACACTTTCAGGAAGCTAGAAACATTACCAATATAGCTAGAAATAGAGGATTTAATTTTAATGAACAGGTTTTGCTAAGTAACTGATTTTAGCCAGTAGTTTGTGCCGATGAAGAACTAGAGGAGGGAAGGAAAACAGAAGGGACACATAGAGATGGGAATGAATAACATATAGACGATATAGTTATGGATGATTCTTTAGTTTGGCATGTATATAGAATAATCTGTGAGGTAAATAATGAAAAAAGAATTAGAGTATGCTGTCCAGAGGTAGGGGTGGAGGATATAACTGACAGCAAGAGATTTAGTAACGGGTGCTAACAATGATGCAGATTTTGTAGCGTGCATATGACTAATGATGTAGGTAAGGGTAGATAAGAATAGCTAATTGATAAAAGCATTCAAAGAAAAGAACAGTGATAATTTAATTCTGTCAGGATTATTGTCAAGGCTATTATAATAAATGCAAATTAATGCATATGCAATACCATAATTTGAATTATGAGTATGATTTTGATGGGAATAACCTTGACAGTGCTACAGAGGTATAGGATCTAGGTATTCAGTCTCTGAAGCCATCCAAGCTGTGTGTTCTTGCTAATGGAAGGGCAAATATGATTTTAGGTTGCATCTACAGAAATATTGAATATAAGCCTATAGAGTTTATTATTTAATTGTCTATGTCATTGGTTGGGCCACATTTGGAGTATTGTGTTCAGTCTTGGGCTCCTTACCTTAGGAAGGACAATGAATTGTTGAAAAAGATTCAGAGGAGGGCTACTAGGATGACCCCTTGGATAGAAAGGTTATCATACAAGAATACTTTAAAATTTTCTCTTGAAAAGAGAAGAGTTATAGAAGACCTGATCAAGGCATCTAATATTGTTAAGGGAATTGATAGTGTTGATGCATTATCTTTTTTTGTATTTAATGGTGAGAATGGTAGTACTAGGGAGAACAAATATAAATTTTGGCAGTGTAAAAGTCATCTTCAGTTAAAAAAGCTTTATTTTTTTAACAAGATAGTTAGCCTTTGGAATGGATTGCCTTAAAACTTGGTGGATGTAGTTAATTTAAGGGAGTTTAAGGAAAGGCTTGATAAATGTTTGAATAATATGGACTGTCTTTGAGTTTTTACTTTCACTTTAAACTTAAGTTTAGTGGATGGGACAACCTAGATAGACCAGTAGGTCATTTGTTGCCCTTAAGTTATGTGTGTGCGTGTGTAAATTATTGTCAGTTGTCTCTTTGCCCAAAAAAAACAGTTCTTTGTAACATACATATATATTTGTGTTTCATGATTAATTCTATATGTATTATGGTAAGTAATATCTAATGTTTTGTTTATTTATTGTTGCTTTCATTAATAATATTAGTTAACTATTTACTATTTGAAATGTAATTAGTTTTTAATTTCATTTGCCATTTATTATTATGCTTTTATTATAAAGACTAGCAGAAATACCTGCCATCTGGACAGGTATAACTGCTAGTTCCTGCAGGAGGCTATTTGGCCGGTGGCCTTTTCTGGAATTGTCTAACAGTTCTACAGCAATGTACTCATATTTGGCATTCAATAATGTTCACAATCTATCAGAAAATGATTTTATTGAAATTTTAGTATAAAAATGAGCTATCATCACAGAATTACATCACAGAGTAGATTTTATTGAAGTATTTCTCTGTAGACGCAGTTATCAATGAAAGTGCCTTGCTTTTCTGTTGCAACACTCATGAGATTTTCATTAAAAAACAAATAATTATTTTTAAGTTTGTTTTTGATTGTTTTATATTTGAAACCTATTCCTTTTTTTTGTAATTTTTGTTGTTTAAATCTGAAACATATCATTTTTGTTGAAATTTCAAATGTTTTATTTATTGCTCAGCTATAAAAATACTGCCTAGTTCTAAAAATAATACCCAGTTATGATTGGTGATGATCGGTGCGCTAGTGTCCGAGATCAAAGTTTTTAACATTTACATCGCAAGCTCCATTATAATAAGATTGTTTTACATTGTTAACTTAGATTTTGTATTTGGGATTAACTTAAATTTACAAAGCTGGCTAATCTTCTTGAGATATTATTGGGTTTATGGCCAAAAATGCCATTAACAGCAAGAGTATCCAGCTGATGAAACAGTTAATTCTAAGCATTGTAAGTAGATATATAAGAAAAATATATTTACTTGGCTATACTGATGGCCAGGTTAATTTTTAGTTTCACTCCAAGTACATAGCTTACTCTGATCAGAAGTTATTGTTTTTGTGGAATGTGCTTACTAGTTAAAAAGCTATTTAGGTGTCATTCTGTTATAAGCACTTCAGAAATGTTCCAAGAACACCTGCTTGTAGTAAGATTACTCGAATCCAATACTTGAAACAAAAGCCAAAACAAATAAGTTTAAATAACATCCAAGATCTTCCAAAGTTTCATCAGTATCAGTATTTTACCTATTTAAGTCACGTTTTGTTGACAGTTAATCAATCAAAGGCTAGTAGTGTAGCGTTTTCTTAAGTAGTTCTATATACAGTTCTTAGAATATTCTAATTAAGTAATGTTTACTTTTCTGAACATTACACTAAAGTTCATTGTTTCTTGTTATATTCTAGCATCTAGTGAAAATGATGCAGCATGGAGTATTACCAGTTGAACATTAGAATAAAGTTTTTGTAAGCTTCTCAGTTATAAATGTAAAAAATAGGCTATTTATGAACTTTAAATATCTCTGAACTAGCTGTTTAGTCACATATTTAAACCTTAAAAGATGAATGTAGAGTTTTGTTTTATGAACTCTCGTATATGCATACATATATTTGGTTTTATCTAAGCTCTTCAGTAGCTTAGCATGAAATTAAATAAACAAACAAAAATTATGTTCTTGTTTTTGTCCTTTACTTAAGTTTACATTTTTTGTTATTTTAATAAGTCAACATCTGTGTACTTTCACAGAACAACTGAATGAAGAAATCATTGGTTATTGGTTTGAGAAATAAATCCATGTTACCAGAATAAAACATAACTTGTTCTTACAATTACAGAAGGAATTTGGGTGAGATTTAATTTAGCTGCTCAAGTAATTAAGATATTAAATGTTAAAGTAAGAGCCAATTTTATACTTTCATTGATACTTTTTTTTCTTCTAAGTTTTGCAGTTGAGACCAAGTATCAAGCTTTCTATACAGGAGGTCATGTGCAGGTATGTGTTGTGTAGAAATTTTCTTTTAAACTCAAAGGTAATTTCCCTGGTGTCAGTTGGAGCTAGATACCATATCCTCATAAACTACTTGTTAATGAAAATATGTTTTTCTTGGTTTGTCATAGTATAAGGATGTATTTTTATTTTCAATTTAGATGTTCCACGGGGCCTTTATTCAAATAATGTGATAACATTTCTTATACATAGACTAGCTGACATCACAGAGGTAATAACCTGATAGTAAAGATAGTCTAGAGAGATACTTTTAAATATAGATGATCTTGTGCATAAGTTCCTTGTTAGTCTTTTAAAATATTGTATTCAAATTAGGGTACCTTATTGTATAATGAATGTTATCAACTGGATAACCATACAGAAAAAGGCTACTAAAGGATTTTTGAAAAACAAATTAAGGTTACCAAAATATAACATAACTGGAACTTTTCATTTGAAGGGGAATATTGAGTAATTTAGCTGCCCCAAGTGATTAGGAGATTAAATGTTACAGTAAGAACCACTTTTAGATGCTATTGTAGCATGCAGTCTACACAGATACTATCATCATCATCACTGTTTTAACTTTTGTTTATTTGCATTTGGCATCATTTATGATAAATACCGCTTTTAAGCTAATAAAATACAAAATACCATACATAATGCTTTGAGGGCAAATATAATCTGAATGAAATAAATTCCAACAATCAAAACTAGTATAATTTAAGGTACTCTCTAATTATTATTATTTGCTTAAAAAAAACGTGGATAGATATATAAATTCTTTAACAAGAGATTATGTTTTAGTGAATCATTAAAATGGTGATGATCATAGTATCTGGGTAGGTTGCTAAAAGCCTACTGTTTCATTATTGTTACAATTGTAATGCTGTTATTTATATTTTTGTGCAAAGTACTTATTGCCTCTCAAAATGTTAAAAGTCATGTACATTTGTGTATCTTTTTCTTCTAGGTTACTCATGATGGTGACCACATGTTCTGTGCATGTGGAACCAAAGTTCAGATTGTTTCAGTTGAAACTGGGAAAGTGGTGAAAACAATTGGGACAGTAAGTTTATATAACAATCTGCTTCCTAAATCAAAATAATAATGTATATGTTAGATAATTACTGGTTTTTATCAACACAATTATTTTAACCAAATATGAGAAACCTATAAAGATCTAATTTTCTCAGCTTTTACTTAAAGTACTAGTGTGTGTTTACCTAAAGAGCTATTTCATTTTATATGATGCTCATATGTTATCTCAGTATCAAACATCAAAGTCATAAATCACTGTTTCAATTTGGCTCAAACATTAAGAGTGGTTTATAAATTCAAGGCGTATTTTAACTAAAAGGCTTTTCAAAGAAAAACATGAAAAATGTCTAAGTTAATAGAACTTTATAATTTTTGAACTGTATTTTCAAAACTTCAGTCTCTGGTTATTAGGGAACAATACAGACTTTTGTTTAATTCTAGGATGAAAGTAGTGATGAATTAACAAGCTTTGTTGTGAGTAATGATGACAAAATCTTGGTGACAGCTGGAAGAAGTGGACTTCTAAGACAGTGGGATTGGAGGACTGGTACCATAATGCGAACATGGAAAGTAAGATTTTAAGTTTTTATTTTTAAAATGAGTTTACCATCTGAGGTTCTGTAAAATGTGCTAATAAATGTCTTGGTTGGTTATCATTGATTTATAAAATAAAAGCTATTAGCACAAAAGCTTCTTGCAATTGAAATTCACATGAATGATTCAGCTGTAAGCAAAATTGGAAACAAATCTTCTACAAGGAGAAAGCATTAGTCTCCTTTGTACAGGTTATTTTCCAAATGACTTGTGAAATTACTCAAAGAAAGCCACAAAACATTTTTTGACATGTTTTTGTGTCTGGTTATGACACAATATCACATTGTTTACTTTCAGTTTTTCTAGCACATTCTTGTTAGTGTTTTGAACTACTAACACATGTTACAAACATATCCTTTTATCTTTCTAGTCTATTCATGTTGGTCCTGTGGCATGTATGACATTTGATCCCACGTCTACTCTTTTGGCCACTGGAGGAAGTGACTCAACCATCAAAGTGTGGGATATTATCAAACAGTATTGTACACATAACCTTCGAGGAGCTCAAGGAGTGTTTAGGTACAGTTTTATATTGAATACATACACTTGTTGTTCATATCCATGTATCATATAAAGTGTATGTATATCTAAAATTATATGCAGATCAAATAATTATTAGTGTGTGTGTGTGTACATATATATATATATATATATATACACAGCTTTTAACATGTTATTACAGATGTTCTACTTGTTATCACCTTTATCACAAGATAATATTTTTAACATTTTCACAGTCCACTTACGATAAGTTTTTCTTGCCAATATAAGTGTTATGTTATAATGAAAACATGTTCTTCTAAAGATTGTTTCTTCCATTTTTTAGCATTGTTCATTTTCACCCTAACATCAGCAGACTGCAGATGATTGGAGCTGCTGACGACTACAAGATCCACGTTTGGGATCTGAACACAAGCAGACAGCTGGCTGTGCTGGAAGGGCACTGCAGTGTAGTAACAAGCCTTTCGTTTACTTCAGATGGGAATAAAATGATCAGGTAATATATGATGTCCTTAAGTATTTTCAGATACTAAAAGTGTATAAGGACACAAACTAATTTATAAAATATTTTAAATGCCATCAATTAACATTAGCTTAGTATAAATACATTTAAGATTTTCCCACCCCTCCAATTAACCTTCAGGGCTTATAATGCTAGAATTCAGAGCACAATCACTGCAACAGAGACAGTGCAGTAGCCCATTATGGAGCTTTGTTCTAAGATAAACAAACAATAGTAGGGAAGTTGACCAACACCAAATTTTCCAAAATCAAATCTAAAAGTATTTGAATTGTTTGTGTGTCACATTTGCATTACTTTGTATTATACCAATATGCCACTGTATTTAGAGAAATTTTGCTTAACCAGGTTTTTGCTTTTCACAGTTCTGGTCGAGATAAAGTGGTTTTATTATGGGATATGACAAGCTTTCAGTCTTTGAAGACTATACCAGTTTATGAGGTAAGTACTCTGTGTTGCTTACATGTGTAGAAAGTAACTTTATTTTGTAAATATTGTTGACACACCTACATTCCACTTGAAGCTTTTTTTTTAATAGTTTCATCATCGAAAGACATTCATAGCTGTTTGTGAAGATGTGTAATTTCTTGTGAAAATACCAAATACCTATGTATGGCACTATCTAGAATAAATGAATACAATGTATGCAACTCCTTCAAAAAAATATCAGTAACTCCTACTACAGATGTATATTTACACAGATGTAGAATGACTGATCACTGTATTAGGACTCTCACCTAATATTAGGTTAAACTTGACATGGCACAGACTTCACAAGATGACAGAGTATGTATTGCTAGATTGTATTCCTTTTGTTGCGGAATATGGTTCACAGCTGTTGGTAGAATATTATGGTGGCATATGCAATCCATTTTTTATTGAATGTGTTTCACAGTTGGTTCACAACTGTCAGAAGAAGATTATGGTGGCACATGGAGTCCATTTTTTGTTGAATATGTTTCACACTTGGTTCACAACTGTCAGAAGAATATTATGGTGACACATGCAATCCATTTTTGTTGAATATGTTTCACAGTTGATTCACAACTGTCAGAAGAAGATTATGGTGGCACATGGAGTCCATTTTTTGTTGAATATGTTTCACACTTGGTTCACAACTGTCAGAAGAAGATTATGGTGGCACATTCGTTGAGTAACAGGGTACACCATAGGTTCACAGATGTCAACAGAAGATTATTGGCACATTCAGTGTTCTGTTTCACCTGAAAGATGTTGAATCAGATTGAGACCTAGTGATGTACTGACTACCAAGATCACTGTCATGCTCTTCAAACTGTGAGCATGGATGAAATCTAGTGTGCTCATCAACAATATCGAGATAAACCGGAGATGTTATTCTAAAAGAATGGAATTAGTATCTGGTCACTTGCACGAGAATGTTTCCAACACTGTTATACGCATTGTAGCTTGCAGTAATTGTCCAGTACTCCACATAAGGGGTGTACCTGTGTAATTCCTGACAAAAAAATCAGCCATTTACGGATTTAAAAAATATATATTGAAAACTTGTTTTACTGCTGTTGAAAAACTAATACAGCTCCTGCTTCTTTAACAGTAGTACAGTAGTTAATGACCACTTGTAGCTTTCTGTAATTCTACGCAAGTTGTGCACAGGTCACACAATAGAGCTGCAAAAATAAGCACACTCTATCCACTAGAAGTTTCTGTTGGTGCACTTGTGAATGATCCAATTGTGTGTAAAAAAATAAATAAAAAGTTGTATTTTCATTACTTGTTTTTTTATTATGACTATATCTGGTGATTTAATTTGCTAAGTTAATCCTGTGCCAAATTTTGCCTTTTGAAATAAGAAAATAATTCATAATTAGTTAAATTACTTTTTATCACAAAATGTTATTCCTGCACTTTGTAAAGAAATTTAAAATTATTCTCGCTTACAGTATTCTGGGAGTGATTACTCCTTACAGGAAATAATTATTTGGAGCACTGGTATCTTTATGTTGTTCTCTATATCTTTGTTCTACCATCAGTACAGAAGAAAGGTAAAATGCAACTTACTAGGTTACATTTTATGCTTACAATCACTTATTTTTTGTGATTTCACACTGTAAGCCCCATTGTTTCCTGTTTATTTTTCATAGTTTTGCACTGTAAGCACCATTATTTCCTGTTTTAATCTGGGATAAAGTGTTTTGACTATGAAAAATTTTGTAATATCTTTTGTACCATACATTTGGAGATGATTGACTCGTGACCACTGTTCAAGGAGTTGTTCAGTTGGGACACATTCTAAATTCTATTACACTTCACAAGCCTGTCCTTCTTATCCCTCAAATTGTCACCAGCAGTTGGATGCAAGGTTTTCCCATTTTCAGGTTTATTCTTTTGTAAATGTCTGTTTTTAAATAGTATGACAGAACAGCCAATCAAGAAAAGGGACATACTTTAATAACAAGGACATATTTTCATGCCCTTTTGACATTCATAGCAATCCTTGTTCTTATTCTTCTCATTCAGGCTAACTATGATGTAAATACATAATCGTGTTTGTAGGTTTCAAGCAGTCATCTAGTACAAGGGTTCTCAGAGTTTTCCACTTTATAACTCATCTGATTAGCCAGGTGGGACATTTGTAACTCGGGGGTGGGACTGTTTATGCTATGTAGTAACACAAAGTGACATCTCTTGTGACTCAGAATTTGGGAACCACTGATCTAGCATGTTACATGATTGATTGAAATAGGGTGCTTAACAAAATGGTCAGTCAGTGTAGTTACATCTGTTTGTAGGAGTGTGTATTTACATACACAAAACAACAGACTTGTTACACAATTGAGAGTGGATGTTATTTGTAATTGCACTCTTTGGTTTTTACTACTATTGCAACTTGTTTAAGATGGACAGATTTTCTGCTGTTTAATTAACAGAGGTTGGTAGAAATAATAGAGGTGGGTCTTGGTAAGCCATCTGGTGAGGGAAGCGGTTAAAAGTGATCTTGATACATGATGTACAGGGTGTCCAAAAAGTCTGAAACTGTAGGTCATATGCAGCTTTTCTTAATTTCAGGTAGTGATTGATTATGGTGCTGTCAGAGCATGGGAAAAAGGTTGAGTTGATCCTGCTGTTGAGCCAAACTTGTTTCAAATTACAAGGACAGCATTCTGTAAAATGTGTTGAAGTGTCTATGGTTCCAGACTTTTCGGCCATCCTGTATTGGAAATATGCTTTGTTAATTTAATAAACTGTAATGTCAAATGCATGTTTATTAAATGATACAGTGAGAAGTGGATCTTGAGATGCCAAAAGTCAAATGCCACGAGAGAAATAATATTTAGAAAGCTACAATGAAAAAAATTAAATTGAAAGAGCATGGGTTTGTACAAGAACAGTCATTAATACATAAATTCCAGATAACTTATTTTACAAGTTTCAGTGCTAAATCAGTATACAATCAAACCAACTATTGGGACACATGTAATTATGTTTAGATAAAACTACATTTAAAGTGTTATCCTGAACAAGTTATACTTATAGTAGTATTTTGCAAGTACTTTTTTTTAACAGGCCTCTCACGAGCCAGTGTGGGACATTTTTGTTGGAAAGAAAACAAACTACCCAATCTAGTTTTTCTTAATTTGAACTGAAATTTGTTGACATGTTTATTGGCTAAAAAGAAGGCATTTCCCACACTCTTTTAGCATTGGGGCTACAAAAAGTGATTTGAAATGGCAAGGTGACTGAAACCTGTCAGTGCATCACAAGCTTAATGGCCAAGCACAAGAAGCATGGAAGTCTCCAAATGACACAAAGAAGTATTCAGGAACCATTTAGAACCACATTGGTAGATATTGTGCAGCAAGTCGAGTACAATATTATGCCTGTAGCTTCTTTCAAAGTGTTCCTGTCTGCTCATCCTACTTCTGAATATCGTAATGCTTTGACCTTCCCTACCCAGTCGTAGCTGAAATCAATCATATCTCAATTGAAAGCTAAACATAACAAGATGATAGCAGAAGTATAAAATGTTGGCAGTTGCTTAATTAATGATGCTGAGAATGTGGCTTTATTGATATATACTGAATTTACTCCCAGCGGGTAGACCTTAGTACTAACTAGTATGGAGACTTGAGGATACCGTAGTTCACTTAACATTTATCAGTAAACAAATGAAAACATCCAAAACCACCCTCTTTGGGAGTTTCTGGATTGAACTTACTTTTAATATTCAACAAATCATAGTGTAAACACATTCCTTGGCTCCTGAGGGATATGTTAATACATATTTAATGTTACAGTGTTAAATATTCTTTCCAAAGGCCAAACCAACTTTTAACCTCTTTTTTTTTTTTTTCATGTAGTTGCTCTTGTTTCACAACTTAATAAAATTTGTACTTGGGCAACATTATAAAGACATGTTTAAGAATATTTTAATTGGTTTCATTGTAGTCTGTGGAGTCTGTCATTTTGGTGCCAGAAGACAGAAGATTATGCCAGATTGGTGTCACCACTGACAACATTTTCTTTATTTCAGCTGGAGAGAAAGGTATATTTTGACTATTTTGCAACTAGTCTGAATCTCCTCTAACTTCATTCCTTTAATTCAATGTGCTCATTTTTATTTATTTATTTTATTAAATTTTTCTAAAAAAAAACTTAAATGCAATTTTTGCAAAATGAAGTTGTATGTTCTTAAAATGTAAAAGGCCTAAAAATAGTCATTGTATTTTAGTTATATTCTCTTTAGCTCTTTGGGAACAAACATGAAGGAAATCTGTTAAATAATCTTAGCAAATATTTGTTTTTAATTAATTATACATTATATTACAGTATATATTTACAGTAACAACATGCATGTGCTTTGTATTGTAATTAACACTTGTTTTAATCCAATATGAAATGATTTCCGTACAAACTACAACATTTTTATAAAATTTAAACCAGTTTCTTAGCATTTTTTTAATGTTATTCTTTGGCCTCAACTTATGAATGAGCAAGCTCTTTTATTTGAAAGTTCTGGTAGGTTTATACATTAAAAAAAAATCTTGAATTAAATAAACTCGTGGGCGAAAAAATGCACAAAGCTAACACAGCTCTAAATCTTCATTTTTGAAATAGTAGTATATGTTCAAAATTCACAAAAAGTTACAATAATGGCTGTGTAATAATGTAGAATGCAGTGTTGAACCAGATCCAAAGAACTAACTTTAATTACTCTCCATTTGTTAAGACTGTTATCTTATTTATTTAATTTTATTGTTTTTATTTATTAAAACTGACAATGAAAGCTGAAACAAACATACTGAAAATATTCTGTGAGGTGGTTCCATAGCGAGTGAATGTGCTTGCTGTAATCCATCAAAATATTTTGTGTGCAATGTACTTGTTTTATATATATATATATACTATTGTTTGTTTTCAATAATAGTGAGTAACATTTTTTTGAAACCAATCAATATGGCAGACTTTAGATAATAATGAAAACAATTATTTTTATTTTTTAACTGTCATTGCTGTTGTATGTACAGTTCAAGATTTGTAAGTTTTTGTTCATTTTTTGCTAATAAACAGGAATCTTACAAGTTTGGAATGCACAGTCTGGTCAGCTTGTACATAAACAGGAGAGCTGTCTTGTAGCATCCTCGGGTGCTAATTTACCTGAAGGTTCTCTCATAATGCAAGCAACTTACAATGTTAAGCTCAACACAATAAGTGTTGTGACTTACGAACACAACATTGTCTTTTTTCGCCTTGATGACTTTTCACTCATAAAACAGGTAAGTAGCATTCTGGGGAAAAAAATGTCTTTAATAAGTTATTTTGTTAGTGATTATTAAAAATGGTGATTGTTTTTTACATTATATTGTTGAGAAATAACTTGTACAGTTTAGAAACAACTTAAATGAGTGAAAGAGTATAATTCCATAATTTTCAACTGTAAGTAAGGTGTGGAGATTTGCACTATACTGTTTTCAAGAGAGCTGGTAATTTTAAGACAAATATGTAATTGTTTACATTTGAAACTTTTCAAAAATTAAAATAATAACTCAACTTGAATATGTCTTGGATGATATAACAAGGTAGTTTTTCTTTCTGTTTATATTTTATCTCGACACAAATTTATGAATTCATTAAACTTACAGAAGTCACTGCCACAGAGAATGATTCTGTTTTGTTTTAAGTGGTAAATCATGCCTGATACTGGCATAAAGTTAAGTTTGAGAATTTGTTGAGTGTTCAAACTTTCCTGAATAAAATTTATAAGTCTTGGTATGCCTTTTGTGAAATTTTTCTCCCCTGGGACAAGAAGTGTTTAATTTATAATAAACTTCAGTATGGAGCTTTCTTTATAATTACTCTGTACAAGTAGTAAATACTTTTGTTTTTTATTATCAATAAACTTCTTTCCTGCTAAAAGTATTCACACTTGTAATCTTAGAGGTGGTCCTAGTAATTATTTATATTATTTATAAACTTATCTCCTGCCAAAAGTATTCACATTTGTAATCTTAGAGGTAGTTCTAGTAATTATTTATATTATGTTATTTATAAACTTCTTTCCTGCCAAAAGTATCCACATTTGTAATCTTAGAGGTGGTTCTAGTAATTATTTATATTATGTTATTTATAAACTTCTTTCCTGCCAAAAGTATCAACACTTGTAATCTTATAGGTGGTCCTAGTAATTATTTTGTTCAAGTACTGTAGAACGGACTTTGTCTGAATAACTGCTGCTATTCTGAGGATCATTTTTTCATCTAAGTTCAAGCAGTTATGTGTGGTAAATGACATAGCAAATGTCCCCGTGGCACAGGGGTGGCCCCGAATTTTTTTTAACATATCCAGGTACATGTCAGAGGCCCACAGAATTTTGAAAACACAACAAGGATGGCATGGAAGCCAGGGATACTTCGCAATTCATGTTTTGGAGCTTACACAAGCCCATATTAACTTTGTAAGATGACTGTACCCAGGGACCATAGTAACTACTAAATTTAAAAACCCTGTAGCCACTTTTGCTACAGAAAAGACAATAAATCCTTTGTGCAGAGCCATTGTCAAGGCAATGAGCAAGCGGGTGAGTTTATTTTAGAAAGGTAGGAAATATCTCAGGGTAGAACCCTGGGCTGCCCAAGTCAGCTCTAAGTTCAGTTTTTTTACAAAATGACCAGTGATTTTCACGTTGAGGCCCCGCCATTTTATGCTGCACCATTGTGTATGATTTAGTTCATCTCCATTATTATGTCAAAGCTTGGCTAGTTGTTGATGGTGGGAAAACTATGATCTGCACTTCTATGCATACATAACAAATAACTTTAAGAAGCACTAATACATCAATAACATTTATAAATTGTTTAATTTTATAAATGTAACAGTCCTTCATCATGTGATCATGCCAATAAATGTATAATAAAATTTGTACCTGTCTAACTTCAGCATAAAATTTGCTTAGAATGCTTGCAAGGTTTCTAACAATGCTTGTAAAGTAGGCCTTAGTAAGTCAGCTTGTTTTTACTGTGTTACAAACAATTGTGGACTGCAAGCTTCTGTTGTGATGTCAAGCATGCATGGCAATGGCCTTGTCAACTAGACAACATTGATACAGTTTGTTGACCAACATTTCAAGGCAACATTTAAAATATTTCATACCAGGTGATATGCTCTTGTCCAATCACAACAACAAATTCATGCTAGGAGGGATAGACTAAAATGTATTGACATCTTGAACATTTCAAGACTACTGACCTATATATTTAAATTCTATGGGCTGTCTTCTACAACATGCTGGTTGGGTCAAGTTGCATGTTCAAGAATTGTTAGAATATTTTTGACAAGACAGTATATTAACATCATCTTTACTTGTTTTAAATCAGATTTTTATATTAATAATGATAGTTTTAAAGTTAATGAAGTTTACTTTCTTCCAGTTTGTAGGATACAATGATGATATCCTAGACATCAAGTTTTTTGGGGCTGAAGATACACACCTTGCTGTAGCCACCAACAGTTCAAACATAAAAGTGTACAAACTGGATACATTTAGTTGCCAGCTTTTAAAGGGTCATATGGATATTGTTTTGGCTTTGGATGTGTTTCCAAAAGACCCTTACATGATGGCAAGTTCTTCTAAGGTAATATTGTTTCTTGTATATTGAATTAAGAGTCAGTATTTGTATGTAAGTTATCTACAAAAGGGTTTCACAACCACCTTGTTTGTCTGTCCGTGGGATTTCCTGGAGAAAAAAAAAACTAATTGCACGTATAAATTGTAATGTTTTTTCATTATACTTGCATTTTACGGAGGAAACAAGGTATCTCTAATATCAAAAAGGTTGAGAAATGCTGATCAACAGAACTTGCTTGACTGCAGTTCATATTTTTGGATAAACATAGATAAAATTTTAATAGGGCATACATCATCCTGGTGAGAGAGAGTATCACCACAATTTTCATAAATAGTTTGCTGATCATTATATTTTTAATATTGTGACATCCATTTTCCCTTATTTGTTTTTAGTAAATTAAATGACTAAATAAATTGTTCTTTTTCTCTGTGCATTAAAAAGTATGCTAAAAAGGTTTATACGTATGAAGCTTTAGGTGGTAAAAAATGATTCATTGAGGATAGTGCAACAAACCTCATTCACCTGTGTTAGGATAGTGCAACAAACTTCATTCACCTGTGTTAGGATAGTGCAACAAACTTCATTCACCTGTGTTAGGATAGTGCAACAAACTTCATTCACCTGTGTTAGGATAGTGCAACAAACCTCATTCACCTGTGTTAGGATAGTGCAACAAACTTCATTCACCTGTGTTAGGATAGTGCAACAAACTTCATTCACCTGTGTTTGTTTTCAAATAATATTTTGAGGTGCCTGAATAGAATTTAATCATACGGTTGTAAGTCACAGGTGGTTGGAGTTGTGACACTGTTGTAAATAGATTTTATGAACATTTACTTTGAAATTTTTAATGGTTAGTATATTCAGTTGTGACACTTACAACCAAATAATCTCATTTTAACAAATTATATAATAATTACTAGTTGAAAGAACCCACAAGGACATATTTTTACTGTTGTCTGAACTATTGCTTATTTCAACAGGATAACTGTGTGAGGATATGGAAAATGGACAGTGACTCGGGTGAAATCACCTGTGTTTTTTCTGGATGTGGTCATACTCATGCAGTTGGAACCATCTCGTGTTCAAAGTATTCAAATTTAATGTCTTACAAAATGACTAATAAATTCTACAGGCCTGATATTTTTTTTAATTACATCTATTCAGACATTATAAACTTTCCAAAAGGCCAAAAGTTTTTTGTTTTTTTTATTTTACAGAATAAAATTTATAAATTGATTTGTCTTTCAGTGTTATGATTTTGATTTTTTTTCATCTGTAAGCAAAATGCATTTCAGGAGTTACATCAAAAAAATTTATTTTAAGGGCAACTGCTTTTCTTTTTTACGAAACTTAGTCAACCTATTATTTTGTGTATACAAATAGGAAAATTTCTTGATTTTATAATGATATTAATTACAAGATTTAAAGATATTCGTACTTACTCATCTAAAACTGAATCCTGAGAAAAGTTTGTGTGCAGGTTTTTTTTATGTTCACTTGCCTTGTTTCATAATTATACACACTGATGAAGAAGTTGTTTTACTAAATTAAAACTAAAATATATATTTGTTTTCAAAGAGATTATGAATATGAAGTTTGACTCGGTACACGTGAGTAAAAAGGGGTTTATTGCAATTGCTGAACAGTTTCTAAAATAAACCACACGTCTTAGAACGTTTTTTGGTAAACAAACCACTTGTCTTAGATTTTTTTCTGGTAAACAAACCACTTGTCTTAGATTTTTTTCTGGTAAACAAACCACTTGTCTTAGATTTTTTTCTGGTTAAACAAACCATG